CCCATTGTTCCCACTGCCTTTTTCGCCTTTTGTTATTTATTTGCACCAGCATTGTGTTGTCTCCGAAGCCGCCTCATGACCAGCCGAGGGATTTCACTTCGTCCTTGAGAGAGAGAGAGAGACAGAGAGCAAGAGAGAGCGAGAGAGGGAGCCAGAGGTTGGGGTGGGGGGGGGTGGAAGAGAGAGAGAGAAAGAGAGAGGGACAGGCGCGCACACACACACACACGCGCGCGCACACCCCACACAAACACACCCCGACACAGACACACACACACACAGAGTGCAAAAGGCGAGCCGCCCCATCCCGTCTCCAGGGTCCTCCGGGGGCCCCCCCCCGCCGCTGCGCATCCCGCGTCAGAGGAGCGATTAACCAGACCCGGTAAGGTGCGTGAACCGCAGCGTTTTAACTTTGTGGCGCGTCCCGCTGTGGAGGTGCCGGTGGCGGGCAGCCCTCCAAGGCGCCCTGCTCCAGCTGGAGAGCCGCGCAGCACCAGGGAGGGGGCGCGGGAGTTTGCTCAAGTCCCGGGAGGGGGCTGGGCCCGGCTGCGGGGGAGGCTGCGGGGGGCGCTGTCACCCCCTTCCGGGAAGGAGGGGGCTGCGATCCACGGGACCGGGCCAACTTTATCTGGGCTGCTGTTGGGAAGCCTTGTCCTGTTGCCTGTATTGTTTTCTAAGTGGTGGCGGTGATGTGAGGTGCGGGAGGCAAGCGGTGCAGGGAGGGGGGCAGGGGGTGTCAGCCCTGGGCTAGCCTTGTGCATCTCCAGGGGACAGACCCTCGAACTCGGACAAAGCCCCCGCGCCTGTCTAGAATGGACAGAGCACTCTCAGCCTACCCCATCACCTTCACCCCTGCCTTTTTGTTTCGCTTTCTGCAAGCTCTCTCCCTCTACTCTTCAGTCCTTCCCAGAGTCTCGGAAATAAGTCTCATCCTTCTGGATTTGAGGCGTTTCAGAGACCGGAAGCTTTCATTTTATTGCAACTACTCTCTCTCTCTTTAAAACCCCCTTCCTCACTCGGTGCAAAGTATAGACCGCTCGCTCACGTGCTGTGTCACTCTCCACTCTCGGCTCGCACTTCATAGCCGCTGTAGTAAGAAGTGAAGAACAGGGGTTATGCGGGTTGGAAGCAAGTTGAATCAGGGGCTGGAGTTACCGACCTGCCGGCCTTAGATCTTCGGGACACAGTCCACATATTTTAATAGCCATCTTCCGAAGCGAATACACTAACTAGTAAACAGATTGGCTCGCCTTGGATATCAAAAGGCTTTGGTCCCAGTTCCTAAGTTGAGTGAGGAATGTGAATTCATTTCCAGGCTTCCCTAATCAGCTAAAGCAGGTCAAAACGAGGAAGTGTGTGTTAATGTAGAGCCCACGCTTTTGGGCTGGCCACCGGGGATCCTCTTGAGAGGCATTGCTGCCTCTCAGAAGTTTTGAAATTTGTTGTAACCCAGTTGAGATGTTCAGAGTATCCAGATATCCAAAGGGGGTTTGTCAAGAAGGGCACGGAGAAACATCTCCCCAGAGGACCTTTTCCGCCGAGCACTGTTTCAGTCAAGGGCAAGACACGGAAATCTGTGGGATTTTGGGTAATAAGTGTGGGAATCTGCAAACAGACTAGACAACAGTGATTTGTTTTCTTGGTGTTCATAAATAATGGCTCCTAATATCACACACACACACACACACACACACACACACACCCCACCCCAATAAAGCTGCTGGTGGGGAAATTTGTAGACAAGGGACATTTTCGGTCAGAAAAAACAGAGTGATTAGGTTAAGGGCCACATCGTTTTTTAAAGTACGAGGAAATGTTCTCCCCACCCCCACCCAAAGTTTGACGTTTATAGCTTTTAAAAGGAGGACAATTTCATCCTCTGCAAAGAACCGCTAAATTTTGATCTGTCTCATTTTAAAGGAATCCGGCTGTCTGAGGATGGCTGTTTGCACAGATAGTGGAGGAATCCCTTTCTAGAAGCAGATACAGGGAGCAGGGTTTCTAGGGGGTGCTTCTTCCTGATTTAAATATAGCTCCGAGGCCAAAGCCTAGATAAATTCAGCCAGAGTGATTTAAAAACATTAAGCACTTACATCGAAAGTTCTCCTGGGCACCGTGCAAAATTCTCTTGGAAATTATGCCATCAACTGTTTATTCCTTAGAACTCTAGGAGATAAAAATCACCAGGATCACTTAAAAACTGATGCAATCCAGTGTCAAACCCTCAAACTGCTGGGGATGGCTTTTGTTTGCCTGAAAGGTAGATCTTTCATCACGAGAGTTGTTTAAAAACATTTAATTGTGGGGGTGGGAAGGGCTGTGCATTAGTTATTTGTGTTAATTATATAGTAGCATCTTAGACAGAATTTCTTTTTTCTTCCTCCTCTTCTTGCCAGTGGTCTGCTTATCCCATTCTGGAAGCTTTCTGTTTTCTCTGGGGTTTAATTTTTTCCTTTCTGTAGGATGTTTGGATGGGTAGTACTGATCTACTCTAACACAGCTTTGATTCTTAGCACAGAAACCCTCACTCAGTTTTGTTGCTGTAGTTAGCCGGTCCGTAGTCCTGGCTGGATGCATGCTTCAAACATACAGGACTGGAATCTGCTAAGCTCAGTTGGTGACTCACCAGACTCTTGGTGTGCATTAGTTAGCTCACGTTCTTAGTTTTGCACATGTAGACATACAACCTGTTTAGACTGACTCTCGGCTTAAGGGAGAAAATGGTATTCTTTGAGGAGACTCTTAGAGTATACAGAGTAGGCGGTACATGAAAAGAGCCAAGTTCTTAGCCGGATATAAGATTTTATTTACTCTTTTTTTCTGGCCTTTGTTGGAGTGAGGCCTAAGTTTAAACGTGTCGGACTTCCATTTTCAAAGGAAAGAATCTGACCTGTATGATGCTGTCTTCTTATAAGGCACACTTAAAAGTATGATATAATGCATATGCACACGGGTGTACCGTCTGTGAAAAGCTCTGTCCTGTCACTGAGTGGTAAGCAGTCGTGGTCTTCAAGGTACATTCAGAGCAAATACAAGAAGGGAAATTGCAAGGAGAAAACTGGTGGTTGGTGATTTTCTGAAATCCTGATTTCAAAGAGCTGAAAATTCTGATGCTAAGTGTGCCTTGCCCCTGATGAGATATGACAGATAGGTAGAGCCTGCGTGATTCACCCAATACCGTATCAACTTTAGTGGTCAGGGATGGCATCAAATTAGAGTTCTGACAGTAACCTGGAAACTTGTCTACCTAGGCCTGAGGTGAAGGTAGTCTCACACAGGGATTTGTTGTTGTTGTTTAAGAAATATGGATTTATTTTGTAGGTGAAGAAAGTGCCTATCTGTTTCACATAAACTATAAACTATATCCTGAACTTGGATTTGTAGATAGGTAATAAAAGTCCAAATTTGTTCCAAACAATGTTTTAAAACACCCAATTGTAAATTGTCTACATTTGAGTCTCATATGTTAATGATTTGGGCTCTGAAACTTATTTCAGAAAGGCATTTTGGTTTATCTTCAGAAACACCACACAAAACTGTCTAAACAACTCTGTAAATAAACTGTTCCAAATGCCTCAATTTGGTGAATGAATTAAAGAATTATGGGTCTTAATCCAATTATGATCAGTCTTGCAATTCTCTCTCCCATTTGGGGGCTCTTGGGGGAGCTGGGACAGTTAATGTGGGGTCTTGGATGTTCATTTTCTCTGTGTGGTGTGACAGAAATGCCGCTTGTGCCCCTGTGTGAGGAGGGTTTGCGATGTGCAGAAGTTCCTTACTCTGGTGAACCAAGATTTAACTTTCCTGAGAAGTTACCACTGAGAGGAGAGTAAGTGAAGTTTCTGAAACTTGGCGACAAGGGCCTTACCTTCTGCTTGAAGACAATGAACTTTGAAGCTGCCCTGTGACTTGTTGTGTAGACCCTGTAAGGGTAGAGAGCAGACGCCCTGGTACATGAGGGACTTGCTTCTGGGCCATATTGGGACACTTTTGTAGGCCTTTCTCATGAACTTCATCAAATTCAGTTCTCTGGCATTAGGATTGAGTTAAGGTCAAATGTAAACTATTAAGGACAATCTGTTTTGAGTTGTTTTCTCCAAGTCCTTAGCCTTTTAGCTGCCCTATGTAGGTGCCTTTGGAAAGTCTCCTAATGAGGACCCTGAGTTTCAGGAAGGGCCCTTGACAGCAGTCCAGGTTGCTTTGATGAACCCTTCCAAGATTCCTGCCCCATTTGGCCCATTTAAAGTCTGGCTCCTAGGCTAATTAATTCAAAGGTATAAATAGTTCATTATGGTTTAATTCTCTGCTTAGATGATATGATCACACCCCTCATTTGTTATGGTCTTCCCGTTGCTCAGAGAAAGAGCTGTGGAGATGGCAGGGATAAAGGCAAGCCAGAGAAACTCAAAAGTTTTCAGTGCCCTTCAAATTATGCCTCAGAGGCAACTGATTGTCCCACTTACGGCTAAAGATGACATTGAATAGGGGCAGCATGGTGATAAAATTAGAGGGGAAAGCCTAGCCATTGAAATAGTAGGTCTTATTGAGTAAAACCAGTAGCAGAATTTATGTCTGCAGATATAGAGTCATGCATTCCTTATAGTTAGTAAGTTTCAAAACCAAAAACAATCAACCAGCTAAACACACAAACAAACCCCCCAAAGACTTGCATGTCTCTTTGGTGCTCCGTCAGTGTTTAACTACTGAGTGGTTTGATGGTGCCGTTGTCCGTAGTGGACAATAGCGCAGTGATCACGAGGACTGATGACTTTAGCCTGACATCTAGTTGGCATGCTCTGACAAACCAAAGAACTTTGTTCTTACTATGGTTCTAAGTGAAGTCAAAGAGGTAGGGTGTTTGGAAGGAGCCAGGAAGCAGAAGATGCTGCCTCAGTAGCCACGGAGCTTTTCGGTGTAGGTTTGTCTGTGATTCCTGCAAGACTTTATCTGGAGATCAGAAGTCTTCAGGACTTGGTGCCCCCGTCTAACCTCTAAAGCTGGAAATTAAAATGCTCTTCCTTTCTTGTGCTTTTGTGTGTTCTGGTGCATTGCATGTGGAGGCTAGACGTGGGCTAGATATGGCATGTCTTCCACGCTTCCTCTCCATGTTATCCTGGGAGACAGGATCTCTCATTGATCTTGGTACTCAGTGATGGGCTATTTGTATCTGCTTGTCTCTCCCCACTGAGTAGTATAGCTGCAGACACATGTGACTGGGCCTGGGTTTTTCCATGGGTGGTAGGGATCTGAACTGTCCTTAGGCTTATGCAGCAGGCACCTAGTCAACTGAACCCTTTACTCAGACACCTGCCATGTTCTTATGTGGAGGGTACGATGTGGATGGCCCAAGGAGAAATGTGACTTTTCCAGCCGAGTGTCTGTCATGAGCTGGTTGCTCAGTCAATATTGGCTCTTCTTTCCCTCCCAAGCCAGTATAGTCTCTCATGGTAAATATGTTTGAGGCTTCATTTTGTAAACTTATTTGAATGCAAGATGAAAAAAAAAAGTGTCACTTTCTCAAGGCTGAGATCAGCACTCTAAGATGGTGATCCAGTTATCATCTCTCTATGATTGTTGACCATGTGGTTTTATTAAAGATGTTGTGTTTGGCAGAGGTGTGAATTCTGTCTTTTATTCATATACGTGTTCCTTCAGTCATTAACATCTTCATCCTATATAAATAGTTAAGGCAAATAAAAATGCTAGGCTCTAGCTGCAGTTTTATGCAGACTCTCCTGAGAACAGACGTGAACAAGTACAAGAAAGACATGGAGGATTGTGCAGGAAGATGGCCAGCTGGCTAATGCAGTTCATGAGTAGTTTGGCCAGGAAAATAGAAGTTGTCTATAGAGGAGACCACTGTCTGGAAGGACTGCCCTGTCCAGCAGTACCCATGGTACTGCAGCATCAGGGAGGAGTCCACAGCTGGCCTCTGTGCTCCAGCCAGCATCAGGGAGGAGCCCACAGCTGGCCTCTGTGCTCCAGCATCAGGGAGGAGTCCACAGCTGGCCCCAGTGTTCCAGCATCAGGGAGGAGTCCACAGCTGGCCCCGGAGCTCCAGCATCAGGGAGGAGTCCACAGCTGGCCCCGGAGCTCCAGCATCAGGGAGGAGTCCACAGCTGGCCTCTGTGCTTAGTGGTACGGTGCCACTGGGGAACAAGGTCCATTAGACTCTCAGAACAGATGTGACACACAGTGTAGCCTGGGGCTTAGAAGCTCTGTGTCTGGTCAGGAAGATCAGCCACAAACAAGCAAACAAAACATACAACTACCAGAAAGCATGGCAGGTTCTTTGTGTTCCCTGGTGTTTTGTCTTCGTCCTTTGTAAAACGAACATGATACTAGTCAAGGTTAAATGAGGTTGGGCACCCATAAGACACCGAGTTGTGCATAGCACAGAAGGAAAGCTCGAAATATGTTGCTCCTTTCAAACACACTCAAAATGCACCACCAGGTGTGGATACATTGTATCAGATGGTCCTGAATGTATTTAAACAAGGGCTACTTCCCATAACTGGAAGGCAGTGTGTGTGCAAGCAGGTGTCCTTCTTACCTTTAAAAATTCTCCCTGTTTCTTCCGGGTGCTTCAGTCCATACTCTCTGACACTATACACAGAGCAGACAGACTGCCTACCTGACCTTGACCATCTTCTGGGTAACTGGCCCAACAAAGCACCAGGTAGAGGGAACTCGCACTTCTGTACCCCTGTAGGCTCTCTCTGAGTGGAGCAGCAATGTACTGCAGGCTGCATTTTATCTCAAGCCTCAAACACCTCCTGAAGTCTTTGCTCCCCTGCGTGACTGATCCTAAACCAACTTGCAAGCTCCACAAAGTGCTGAACTCAAGTGGCCCTCAGCGCCAGCCCCTGCTGGGATGAGTCACAGAGCCACCAGCACTTTGTTGCGTTAGATTTGATCGCTGCCATGAGCAGTCCTTCGATTGTCAGCTAAGAGCCCCTTCAGGGACTTGTCCCTTAATAGGAAGTCTCTTTTCTTCCTCCTGTTGTAACTTTAAATTAAAAGAAACTGTGGAGGAGTTGGTGGTCAGGCCTCACTTCATTCTTCTTCCCACTGGGAGAACAACATCTGAGGAGAGACATTTATAGGACTGGAAATTGAGTTGTTGCTGTGTGGGGGTGTGGGGTCACTGTCAGGGGTGGGGGTGGGGTGTTCGGTGATGACGGAGGACCGAGGAGAACACACCACTTAGACTTGACTAGCCAGACTGTTGTTGATATCATCCAGCGCGTGGCTGTTGTGGTACCCAGGAGTAGACTGTGGACACGAGGCTCCCACCAGCCTGGGGTGTTTGGGTGGTTCTGATGTATTTCGTCCTGCCCCAGATTCTTAGG